GCGTGAGGGAGCCCTTTCCCTGAACAAAACCAGCACAGCTTTCCTTCTCATTGCTGCCAGGCTGAAAGCAGGGAGTTTGCCAAGCCCCCCTCCCAATTGTTCTGATACCAGTCTCCCCCACAGCTCCAGAGCTGTCAGTCAAGTGAGAATGTACAAAGACACAGCAATAGGTCATGTTTCAGATTTAAATAAGCAGATTGAGAGAATAGAAGCCATTTGTGTGTGTGTGGCTTTGTGAGCAATGCAGATCATTTGTACAATATACCTCTCCACGCCCTATTATATCTATGTGTCCATCTCTCTCTCTCTCTCTCTCTCTATCCCCTTCCTTCCTTCCTTCCTTCCTTCCTTCCTTCCTTCCTTCCTTCCTTCCTTTTCCTTCCTTCATTCCTTCCTCCCTTCTTTCCTTCCTCCCTTCTTTCCTTCCTTCCTTCCTTCCTTCCTTCCTTCCATGTTTATCAGCACACAGGGTGCCATACTAAAAAAACTCTTGGGTGGCACTTACAAAATTGACAACATTTCCATCTGTCAACTCCAGAACTGCTTAGATCAACATAACAGACTATGCCACTGCATTAAAACACCTCAATGTGAATGAAGACCAACACAAATCAAAGAACAGACAGTTGTGATTTATTTAAATAACGCCAACAATAAAAACAATCCAGAAAAAGAAATATATCAAAAATTACAAAAGATATACAGCTATGCATGTTAGCAAGAAACAAAACAAAAAAGCAGAAAAATGGAAAAATATCACAAATTGCTCAAAAGTCAAGCAAACTTACATAAATGGAAGAATCAAACAATAATCTTTCTGTAACATCCCAATGTATGAACTCGTCATAAAAACAGGGCTGGACTTAGGTATAAACTAAACAAGCTTTGAAGTCCTTACAGAATTTCAGATTCTCCCCCAAGTTTCTAGAATTTTATATGGCTTCTTATGTGTAACCTATGAGAGGCGACCCCCACCAAAATAATAAATAGGAAATCGGGGGATCATTTGAAAACAATGTGTAATTTCAGTATGAAAACGTCGTTCTGAAATAATTAACATGCGTGCATGTTGTGTGTTCAATTTTGAGGGGCGACTCCGGCCGTGTGTGCGTAAATGGTGAGGCCTTCTGGGGTAGTGAGGGAGGGAGGGAGGGAGGGGGCAGCTGGCTCTTGCTGCTGACCGCCTTGTGCCCTGCTCTGGGTTCCTGACCCAGAAGCCGATGGTTCTGGGGAGGACAAGCTGCAAGAGGGCCGGGTCTCAAGGGACGGTGGTGGCCAGGGAGCCAACGGAAGTCCGGCTGTCTCAGAAGAAGCTGCTGCTCTGGACTCTTGAGCCGGTGCCTTGAAGAGGGCATTGCCTGCTGTTCGCAAGGCAGGTTGTAAGAACCAGGGAATGGCACCAAGGCCTCGTTCCCAGGGGCTTCTGTTGTGGGTTTGGGTTGTGGATGCATGAACCGAAAAGAAGGGGCCTCCATTTCTTTTCTTTTTGGTACAGATGCCCCGGAGCTTCTTCTCCAACTTTCCTCCTGGGAAGTCCACATTTTAGCCTGAGAAGAAGACCCTTCCTCAAGAAGCAGCAGGTTCAAGTCGGCTCCCTCCAGGATTGGCCACTCAGGGGGTCCCCCACCCCAGAAGCCCTTGGACCAAATTCAGCCTCCTTTTCAAAGGGTTGGGAGAAGCCCCCCCACCCATGACCTATCTAATAAGGGGGGGGTCTGAGGCATGCTGTGCCGATGATTGAGCACCAGGCCCCTCCGGCTCACACCTCGGGTGGGTCTCCGTGTCTGTCTGGCAGCCAGAAAACTGTGGCATAAGACGTCGTAATCGGCCTCAAGGCTCCCTCTGTGGGGTGTTGGATGGACCACCGAGGCCACAAAGGGCTATTAACACCATGCTGGACCCGACGGGATGATGGATGCAAAACGAGGATGCTGGACCTGATGGGATGATGGATGCAAAATTCTCCAGCTCAGTGGAGAATCAGGCCAGGAGCTTGGAAGTGGACGCTGGAGAGAGGTTGGTTTAGTTGAGGTTGCCTCCCTCCCTTCCCGGGAATGTTTGGGTCCATCTCTCCCATTGGGACGCCTGGAAGACTCTGCTGACCGCTCTTCCCTGAGTGGCCACCAAAGGGATCCAGGCCTCCAGGCTGCCTTTTCCTGCCCTTGGCTTTAGGGCAGGACTTGGGTGCCTGGAGGGCCGAGAGGAGACGCCTGACTCAGCACTCGCCTCATCCCGGGTGGAGGGGAGGCCTGGTGCTGGGACGCCCTCTTCACCCCCCTCCCCTTTCCTCCCCAAAGGCAGGTGGAACAGATGGGGGCCAGGAGGGATGCCCAGGTGAGGACGCCAAATGGAAGGGGATTGAGGAGGGGGGGGGAGAGAGCAAGCAAGAGAGGGGTGGTGGGGGGTGGTGGGACGGGGCTTGTTATCTAGCGTGCCAGGTGCACCCTTACCCCACCCCCTGATGGATGGTCCCTCCCACTGGTCAGGCACAGAGGGGCCGCCACATCCGCCCTCAAGCCGCCTGGCCAAGTGGGTGAGAAACGTCTGACTCAACCACTCCCTCAGCCCCCACGACTCCCGCCCTAAGGGGGGACCCCTGATCACCCCAGAGGGACCTGAGATTACCTGGCTGTCCGCAGGCCAAGTCTGGGGCCCAACTCCAACCTGTGGCTCCAGTCAGGCTCTCTGGCCTCCCGGCCTCACCCTTCCGTTGCTACCCCACACCAGGCTCTGGAGGGGCACGAGCTTCTGCCTGCCCCGAGACCCCCAGTCCAGCTCTGGCCTCCAGCTCCTTCAGCCTCATCACCTCCGGGGGCCTCTGCTGGGGACCATTCAGCTGCCCCTTTGGCTTCAAGGGCTCTCCTCTCTTCTCCTCTTATCCTGCAGGATGCTCAGCTCCCGGCTCCTGGCTCCTGTTTTGGCCAGACCCTCTGCCCTCACCTCTACCGGGCCCTCTGCCTCACCACCACCGCCTCTCAGCCTCGGCCTGGGGCTCTGGGGCTTTGAGTGCAGGTCTCATCCCGGAGTCCTGGAGCTTCTCCACTCCTCCGTTTCCCTCCAGGACACCTCAGCCTTCTGGGGCCATGAGGCCTCCAGCTCAGGTTCGCACCTATTTGCTAGAACCGGATGTTAACATTCTAAGCAGTTCAGAGAACCGGTTGTTAGAAGAAATTACAGGGCTAATCCTGTAAGGAAGGCAGGAAGGAAACATTCTGGTGTTGCTTACAGAAACTGCCTCTCTGTTAACCCTTATTACATTCTTGGCAGGACTAGACTTCCTGTCTCAGGAACGTCTCTGGAGTTTTTTCCCCTCCTTTGCTGGTACTTTGCTTGTGTGAAGGGACCATTCAAAGTTACAATGGCACTGAAAAAAGTGACATGACCATTTTTCACACTTACGACTGTTGCAGCATCTCCACAGTCATGAGAGGCCAGGCGAGGAGATGCGTGCCTCGATGGGAGTGATGTTGAGTTGGCCACGCCCAGCCAGTCACATGACCACCAAGCCACACCCACCAACTAAGCCACGCCCACAGAACCGGTTGTTAAAAAAATTGTATCCCACCTCTGATCACAACAGTTGGTTTCGCGTGTAGATGGTTTATGGACCTTCCTGCTGACAGAGCAGGAAGGGAATTAGCTATTTTGCTATCTGGTAAAGTATCTGTATGAGGGACAAAGGCTCCAGGGATGAGTCCATGACTGTCAGGCGCAAGAAACCAAGAGACCAGGCAGTTCAAAGGAAATACAAGTTTTAAAAAGTAAATTTTATTAATTTTCTATTAATTACATTTCTTAGTGCTTAATAAACATCGTGTTGTCTGGATATTTAATTTGTTAACCATTCAAATGCCATTCTTCCTCTCCACTCTTTTTTTCCAACCATGGGTAAAATAAGTTCTCTTGTCACATTTTTCTGATATCTTTCCTAATAAAAACAGCTCAGGTTTAAAATCTACATGTTTCCCTATGATCTTCTCTAGCCATCTATGTATTTTTGACCAATTATTTTTTTGTTTTAGCACAAGTCCACCACATATGATAAAATGTGCCTGACTTTTGAATACATTTCCAACATTTGCTAGACATATTTTTAAACATATTATCTAACTTAGGTGGTAAATGCCATCTGTAAAACATTTTATAGAATAGGATAGGATAGAATAGAATAGAATAGAATAGAATAGAAAACAAAACAGACTAGAATAGAATAGAATAGAATAGAATAGAATAGAATAGAATAGAATTCTTTATTGGCCAAGTGTGATTGGACACACAAGGAATTTGTCTTGGTGCAAATACTCTCAGTGCACATAAAAGAAAAGATACATTCGTTAAGAATCAAGAATCATCAGGTACAACACTTAATGATAGTCATAGGGTACAATAAGCAATCAAATCATACTAGGAAAAAGGCAATATAGATTTTAAGGATACAAGGGACAAAGTTACAGTCATACAGTCAAAAGTGGGAGGGGATGGGTGATAAGGAGGGATGAGAAGATTAATAGTAATAGTAATGCAGACTTTGTAAATAGTTGGACAGTGTTGAGGGAATTATTTGTTTAGCAGAGTGATGGCTTTTGGGGGAAAACTGTAAATTTTCTTTATAAGAAGAAATGAATACAAGTTTAATATACGGTCGCACTTTCTACAAGAATCTGACCTATTAAAGGTCAAAACCAATAGGCAGTAGATAGAAGTCAATGGAATTCAAGGCAGGCTGGACTTGGATCTCTTGTGGGCTCGAAAGGACTACAAACTGATGACCCTCTTGACTCTTCCTTCTCTCGGGCCCAGCCTGGTCATCTCCTACAATGGCCTAATTAAACCACTCCCTATTAGGAGATTGTCTAGAACAATAGATGACCATTGTACCCACAACCATTCCTTCAAAGAATGTATTTGCATCCACATTGAACAGAAAGACCGAAGGACACCAAATTTGCTAATTTCCCACAGAACTATTATGGGTTGGCTTGGATTCTGCCTCGGAGCTACTATTTCCTCCTCTGCAAGCCCATGGCCCTCAGCACCCGCACACGGATCTCCTTGGTCTTGGCCCCATAAACTATGGGGTTGAGCATGGAAGGGACTAGCAAATAGACATTGGCCAGGAAGATGTGGACGCTGTGCTGGATGTTGTGCCCAAATCGGTGAGAGAGGAAGGAGAACAGTCCAGGGGTGTACAGGATGAAGATGACCCCCACGTGGGCCCCACATGTGCCTAGTGCTTTGTGGCGAGCCTCCAAGGAAGGCAGGTGGAAGACGGTCCGTAGAATCAGCCCGTAGGAGACGAAGATGAAGGTCAGGTCTCCGCCGGTAACGAGGAGGGATACAACCAGCCCATAGAGGTTGTTGGGAGTGGTGTTCCCACATGCTAGTTTTACAAGAGCCATATGCTCACAATACGTATGAGAGATATTTTGGGAGTGACAGAATGTCAGCCTCAGCAAAAGTAAAGGAATGGGTAAGACAATCACGATGGCCCGGATAACCACGGCTGCTCCGAATTTGACCACCATTCTTGGGGTCAGCAGGGTTGTATAGTTGAGTGGGTTGCAGATGGCCACGTATCGGTCGTAGGCCATGGTGGTGAGCGTCCCAGATTCCACAACAGAGAGGGCGTGCACCATGAACATCTGCACCAGGCAGGCAGCGAAGGTGATCTCTTGGGCGTTGGCCCAGAAGATGCCCAGCATCTTGGGCAGGATGCAGGTGGGCATGGCCATGTCGGTGAGTGCCAGGAAGGAGAGGAAGAGGTACATGGGCTGGTGCAGGCTGGACTCTGTCCAGATGACCCAGAGCAGGGTGGCATTACCCAAGAGAGCCAAGGTGTAGATGAAGCAGACGGGAAGGGAGAGCCAGGTCTGGACACTCTCCAGTCCTAGGAGGAGGAAGGAGGTGGGAGGGGCATAGGCACTGAGGTTGGCACTCGCTCCGGGCATAGCCGACCTCATGAAGTAAGCCGGAGGCTTGTCTCTCCGAGCTGCCTGGTCTTCTTAAATATTTTGATGCAATCTGCTGGGTCTAAAAGTTGTCTGGCTTCCCACCCCATCAATTGACCTGCAGTTTCTTTGGATAATGTCTCCTTCTCCCAAGTCGTGGGACCTTCTGGTGCTTCTTCTGGTTAGAGAGTCATTTTCCTGCCTCTGGAGGTTGAACTGGGTGTTCCTCTCCGGGAAACGAAGAACAACGTGAGTAATCCCACTCCGAGCTTTGTGGTGCAGAGCCTAAGAATAGCAGACTTTCCATAACTCAGTTCCTCGTGAGGAACAATGGGGGGATTTCCTTGCTGCACCCAGCTGAGGCTCCAGTTTTGGAATCCAGGGTCTCCCTCGCTCCCAGGCCTTGCTCGTCCCTCCTCAAAAAGGAGAAAGAGTCGTCCTGGCCACGCTGCCTGCAAGAGAAGAATTGCAAAGAAAAGGAAAGAGGAAGGGAGCAGATCTCAGCCGCTTTAGATGGAGTGAAGGATCACCAGTGAGATGACTGGTCCCACCACCTCTTCTTCCACGGGATGCTCCTGTTTGGGGTTCCAGTCAGCCGACCCACAATTCCTCTTCCAGAGCCTTCCGTGTGTTTCTAAAGGGGTTCAAAGAAGAGATTCCATAGCCATTTGCTGAAAGGGTGTATAGGGTCTCCTTCTTGGGTGGGAGGTTGGAGTCAAGGGCCTCCAGGGTCCTCGCTTCCTTCTCTATTCTTCTGCTTCGTTATTCTGCCACTTTTCCTGTGATCAGGTGTCTCCATCCCATCAAGGCCAAAGAAAGTCTGGACCGATAGAGGACCTCCAAGGTCCCTTCCAACCCTATTATTCCAGGTTCTACATTAGCTCTCCCCCCATTTCATCCCTTTTCATCATGTTGACTTGCCAAGATCAGAAGTCTGCACATTATGGAGTTTCTCCAAGGTTAAGAATAGAATGGAACAGAACAGAATAAAACTGTGGGAAGTGTATCTATTTCGTGACTCAAAACTCAAGATGAAAAAGGGAGGTTTTCCTTTTGAAGTAAGGAAATGCGGTATCAAACACTGATTAGGATGCTGACTGATCTTGGAATGTTTTTGAAGTGCTGGGAACTATCACACATTTTGGAATGCCTTTGAAATGCTAGATACCGGATAAAGAAGTGTCTGTTACGAGCTAGGCACCATGAAAGATGTAACTTGTATCCTGAAAGATAGATTGTAAATCAAGCCATTTGTATACTGGGGGGGGGGAGGGGGGGAGTGGGGGGTAGTTTTGGGTATAAGAGTAGAGCCTTTAAGCTTTGCCTTTCGTTCCTCCCACCTGCCAGGGCAGGAACCCATTTCTGCAGAAATGTTACAATAAAACCTTTTTCCTTGGATCAACTTTGAATCCTGGTGGTTTTTCTTAGCCACAATCTCACAAAACAGAGTAGAGTAGAGTAGAGTAGAGTAGAGTAGAGTAGAGTAGAACAGAACAGAACAGAACAGAACAGAATAGAATAGAATAAAACAGAGTAGAGTAGAGTAGAGTCGAGTAGAACAGTTGGAGGGGACCTTGTAGGTCACCTAGTCCAGCCCCCCCACCGAACAGGAGACCCTACACCATTTCTGACCAAGGACAGTCCAGTCTCTTCTTGAAAGGCTCCAGTGACGAAGCTCCCACAACTTCTGAAAGCAACTTCTGTTCCTTGGGTTGATTGTTCTCCCTGCCCTGGTTAATTATGGTTAACTAGATTAACTCTGGGGGGGTCCTTGGTGATCTCTGAGCTTGGTGGTTTTCTTGCAGATGTTTCATCACCCAAACTAAGTAACATCAACAATGCTAGTCTAACTAGGGTTAACTATGGTTTCCCATTCAGGTGTGCACCCACTGAATTCATCTGGCATCCTTTGCTAAAGATCCACACACAATCTATTTTAAGGTGGGGCTCTGTATACTTTCGTTAAGGAAGTGGTTTAGCTTATAATCAGGGGAAAATAAGAGCCTCAAGCTTAAAAGTGACTTACCTCCACCCTGTGTATACATTGGTTCCTTTTTTCCAATTTAATGTTGATTGTATGCCTTCATTTCTAATGTTGGGTGCTTTAATGTTCTAATCCTGCAACTGCTTTATTCTGTTATTTGTGGTATTGCAAGCCAGCCAGAGGCACTGAGTGGAGACATGGGCAGCAGGCACATTTTAAAAACAAATAAACCACCTTCCCCCACATCCCTTTTTTGCCATGCGTAAACAGGCAACACCGAGACTTTGCACTCATGAACACATACAGACACACTCATGCTCAGCCATTCCAAGCCACAACATGGACACACCTGCGAGGCTCCTCAGGTCTGGCTGAGCAGATCAGCGGTGGGCCTTTCCACAACCTCCAAAGAGGCAGAATCTGCTGGGATATATAGTTCAGGCGCCCCCAGGTAGCAAAGGGACCGAAGGAAGATGCTGGGCAGGCAGAGGCTCCCTGGGGGATTCTGGCTGCACACAATGCCCAGGTGTGCAACGTCTACACGGGAGTCCCACGGCTTCTTGGAGTAAAATCGCCCCCAGGAACCTCTTGCTCCCCCCATCACCCCCCCCCTGAGTGGGGTCATCTCCGAGCCTCCTTGCCTTCTGCAAGAGCTGGCAGACTTGGCTCTGCCCGTTGGCTTGGGCCCCAATGGAGGCCTTTCACGCTGGGGGGTGGCTGGTGGATTAAGGACAGACCCCCCCCCCCCCCCCCCCCCCCCACCCCCCCTCCCTCCCTCCCTCCCCATCTTTTTAGCTAGCTTG